CCCCCCCCCCCCCCCCCCCTTGTCCCATTCCAGGGATGGTGCCAGTCAGCAAAAGGTCCCTGGACTTCCTGCTCCAAGCGGGGCCTGGACAGGCGGTGGTCATTGTGGTGGGCGGGGCCACGGAGTCCCTGGACTGCAATCCAGGCGAGCAACGGGTGCATCTCTCCAGCCGGCGAGGCTTCGTGCGGCTGGCGCTGCAGCACGGGTGAGGGTCTCCCCACGGCCTGGGCGGGGATGAGGGCTGCTGGCTCCAGTCGTGGGCGGATGAGGGGCAGGTTTTGGGGGACCCCCAACTTCCTCACCTGCCGGGGGAAGAGCTCTCAGCGGCCTCCCCCGGGCCCTTCTCGGCTGAGGGGGCCCAAAGTGTAGAACCCAACACGGGGGGGGCGGGCAGGGGGGGGGGGCTCTCCTACCTGTCCCCTGAGCGGAATCCCCCCCCCGCATTTCTGTTTCAGGGCTGACCTCGTCCCCGTCTTCTCCTTTGGGGAGAACGAGATTTTCCGGCAGGTGCAGTTCCCCAGGGGCAGCCGCCTCCACCGTCTCCAGCTTCGCTTCAAGCAGATGACCGGCTTCGCTCCCTGCCTTTTCGTGGGGCGCAGCCTCTTTTTCAGCCGCTGCTGGGGGCTCCTGCCCCAGCCCTCCCCCATCACGGTTGTAGGTGAGCCTGGGATCTTCTCCTACCCCATCCCCTCCCCCGGGCGGTGGGAGGGCGGCCTTCTGCTGCACTTTCTCTCTCCCACGGACCCAGCCGCTCTCTCTCTCTCTCTCTCTCTCTCTCTCTCCCCCCCCCTCCCTCCCTCCCTCCCTCTCTCTCTCTCTCCCTCTCTCTCTCTCTCTTTCTCTCTCGTTTGCAGTGGGGAAACCGATCCACGTCCCTTTGCGCCCACACCCCAAACCGGAGGAGGTGGACCACTACCACGGCCTCTACGTCCAGGCACTGCAGCAACTCTTTGAGGAGCACAAGGGCAGCTGTGGCCTCCCCCCCTCGCAGCAGCTCTTCATCACCTAGGGACCCCTCCCCGCCCAGGGAGCCAGGCGCCTGTCTCTGCTGCAGGCTCAGGCGGGGGCCCCCCCTTCTGCTCCCCCCGTCACAATAAAGAGAGTTATTACGTTTTGTGGCAGCCACGTCCGCTTTCTGCATCGAACGGGTGCGGGGTTCTCAGAGGTGGGCAGGGGGAGCCTAGGCCAAAGGAGGTCATGGAAGGAGGACACGGATGGCAAGAGGCCCCTCCTGTGGGCTGCAGGCTTTGCTCGCTGGGGGCCTCTTGGGGGTGGGGGGTGGGGTGGCAAGCTGCATGCTAGCCGGGCCTCATCCAGTCATTTGGCAAAGCCGATCACAGCTTCTTGGTCAGATGGGACAATGTGGGATAGGCGGGATCCTCGCCAGGTGGATTCGTAACTGGCTGACCAGCTGGACTCAGCGTAGAATCCTCCATGGAGCTGCATCTCCATGGAGGGGACCATGCAGTGGGGAACCCCAAATCTCCGTCCTGGGCCCGGTTTTCTTCAACATCTTCATGAATGATTGAGACGAGGGGGTAGAAGGGGAACTCATCCAATTTGCAGACCACACCAAGCTGGCGATGGGGGATTACGAACTCTTTAGAACTCTTTAGATTCAAGATTGAGAAGGATCTTGACAGACGTGCACGCTGGGCCCTATCAAAATGCAATTCAGTACTGAGAAAAGCGAGGTTCTACATCAGGGGTGGGCAAACTTTTTGGCTTGGGGGCCTCATTGACTTTTAAAATTTGACAGACGGGCCGGGTCAGCACAAGATACGATACATATAAAAAACTGCAAAATCTCCGCAAAATCAAGTCACTAATGTGCCACCTTGTGTCATAATGCCTGTCATTACAAGTCAAAATCAAATGAATGCAATCATTCAATCATTCACATCAAAACTTAATTCTGTACCAATCTTCGGCGGGCCGGATTAAAAAGACCAACGGGCCGGATGTGGCCCGCGGGCCATAGTTTGCCCACCCCTGTTCTACATGTTGTCAAGAAAACCAAATGCACAGATATAAGGTACACAGCAATAGCAATCACGCTTAGACTTATGTACCACTCACGGTGCTTCCCAGCTCTCTCTAAGCGGTTTACAGAGTCAACGTATAGCCCTCAACAATCTGGGTCCTCGTTTTACTGACCATGGAAGGATGAGTCAACCTGGAGCCCGGTGAGATTTGCACTGCCAAATTGCAGGCAGTCAGCAGAAGTAGCCTGCGGTGCTGCACTCTAACCACTGCGCCTCCTCATAGCCCCCGGCTCAACCGCAGGAACCGAGTGGGATGGAGGAGTCCTAGTGGGCAAAGATGAGCCGCCAGGGCGCTATAGCCGCAGGAAGCCGGATGCAATGCCAGGCTGCATCCCCAAAGGAGCGTTTCCCAAGAGCCAACGGGACTTCCTGCTTTTCCCTGGAAGGCGTTTGGCTTCTTCTCACCCAAGAAGCTGCTTCAGCTCTGACTGGGTGGTGGGGGAACCGCTCTGCCCTTACCCAGTCAGAGCTGAAGAAGCTTCTTGGGTGAGAAGAAGCGAAACGCCTTCCAAGGAAAACCCAGAAAGCCCCTCTGGGACAGCCATGGCCTGGGTGGGCGAGACTCTCCAGAGGAAACAGGAGGGCTGGCGATGCTGCTGCTTTATGTCGCCCTGGTGAGGCCACACCTGGACAACGGCAGACAGATGTGGTCACCGCCATGCAAGCACAAAGGCGGAGACTCCAGGGAAAGGGCAGAAAAGAGGCGCAAAGGGGTGGCAAAGGGCCCCCATGGGTGGCTGGAGGAGGGAGGGAGGGAGGGAGGTCGGGCCAATGGAGGATGGGAGCCAGTCAGATGGGAGGGACAGGGCTCCTCATAGCTGAGGGCCCATCCCCAAAAGGCCGGGATTGGCTTACGCTCCACGCAGCAGCAGCAGAGAGCAGGAAAAGGGGTCCTGGGTGGAGGTGGCTCAAGGGGGGAGACCCAACCTCGAGGGAAGGGGAGACATTCTGGGCGGGGGAACAGGGGGGTGGGGGGGGGGGGGGACGGCTTGACTCCAGAAGCGGGGGATGCATCACTGGAGGCTTTCAGAAGGAGACGGATCCTGCCCTGAGCAGGGGTTAGACTAGAAGACCTCCAAGGTCCCTTCCAGCCCCAGGATGCGTGTTGCCTCCCCCTTTCTGGGGGCCCAGGAGAGAGGCGCAGCGGGTGGATGGGGAGGGGGGGGGGCGATGAGCAGACCTTCCCGGCCTTGACCTGGCCGGCCCGAGGGCTCCGCCTGCCACGCGCCCCATTCGCCATGGCCCCGAGAGGGTCTCCCCTTTGAGCCGCTGACCGCCCTTCGCGGCCCCTGCCTGCTCTCCGGCCGCGCTTCCGGGCTCCCCCCTCCCGCAAAATGAGAAGCAGCCGCTTGGCAAAAAAAGGCACCGCTGGGATTCGAACCCAGGATCTCCTGTTTACTAGACAGGCGCTTTAACCAACTAAGCCACGGCGCCACCCGCCGGCTAACTTCCGCGCGGGCCTGGCTGTTCAGTGCAAGCTGGCCTAAAAGCGTCTCGCAAAACCCGGGCAGGAGTTTGGGGGTTGGACGGGAGGGCTGTAGATCAGACCTGGGGTGGATCCCCAGAGGGAGCTGAACTCCGCGGATCAGGGCTGGTTGCTGCCGCTGCGGGGGGGGAGGGGGCGGGGGCCCCCTCCCGGCCCCGCACCGAAACTCGGGGGCCCCCGCTCCCCCCCCCCCCCCCCCGCGCCCCCCGTGTGTCAGCGCAGCCCGGAGTAAAAGGGGATTGACCCCGACGTGATTCGAACACGCAGCCTTCTGATCTGGAGTCAGACGCGCTACCGTTGCGCCACGAGGTCGGCGGCGGGGCTCCTGGGGCAGCCTCCCCTGTGGGCCCGGCACACACACACAACCTCCCCCCCCCCCCCGTCCCGCCGCTCGGGGAACCGGGCGAGGAGTCTGGGCGGGCCTTGAGCGGAGGGCCAGCCCAGGCGGGACCCTCCCTCTGGGGCTGGAGAGGGGAGGGGCCCCTTGCGGAGCCCGCGGCCCGAGTCCTCCCGGACGTCCGAAAGCGGCCCTTTCAGCCCTTTCCCCTTCGGCTCCTCTCCCTCTCCCGCCTCCCCCTTCCCCGGCTGGGCCTTCGCCTTCGCCTCGCATGCTCCCAGGGGGGCCGGTGGGGCCTGGAGGGAGAAGTCCCGGTGGATTCGTTGGGCGAGGAGGCACCGGAGGCTTCCTTGGCTGTCCGGTCTCTCCGGGGTTCTCCTCCCAGCAGCCCTAAGTCGGAAGTCCCCCCC